TGGCAGTGCAACGTAAGTACATCAAATATTATTTCTTCATATCCCATTAGGGGCCTTCCTGATAGCAAGAGCAATCTGCTGCGGTTCATCCAAGAGGTTCATGGACACTACTTTCACCAGAGACCCTTACATACACCTGTTGTTGTGCACTGCAGGTGAGTGTATTTCTGTGGTTGTCCATTCCATTTATATACAGGGAGTTTCTTCAATGCATGTAAATGCTCCTGGCCCTCCGGGTCATAGCCTTCAAGTGTAGACAACACATAACACACGTGTACTGTTTTTGCTTCCTGCTGATAAAAGACCAACTAAGTTTTGATCCTTGTTATTCATTTTAGCATCTCAGTTGTTGTTAATCAGTCTGTACACTTTTTGTCTCAGCTCGGGTGTTGGACGCACTGGCGCCTTCTGTCTGCTGTATGCAGCTGTTCAGGAGCTGGAGGCAGGAAATGGGATCCCAGATCTTCCACTGCTGGTGAAGAAGATGAGACAACAGAGGAAGAACATGCTACAGGAGAAGGTAAGAAAGAGATGGGACTCTGATGTTGTGTTTAGGATTGATCTTTGTTGTCGCAGGTTTAAAGCTGCAATACGCAAAAATGTACATATAGACAACAGAAAAAGCTGATTGTACATTTCAAGGAGTTTAAAACCTAAATTTTAATTAAGCATTATGAAATAAATGAAGAGTCGCACAGAACACTTTGCAAAGTGCTGCTCAAAAATCCTAAATGTAGAAATATGTGACTATGCTGACAAAGTACATCATGAATCAGGCACTGCTGATGAATAGCTCTTCATATAGTACACACTTTATATCATCTTTCGGTCTGCCTCCAGCTCCACCTGAAGTTTTGCTATGAGGCTGTTTTGAAGCACGCCGAGCAGGTTCTTCAACGCCACGGCATCACGACCGCCACCTGCAGCAAGAACACCAACTCTGCAGCCACAAAGGTTTGTCACTCTTCTTATACTGTCCTTTCAAATAAGTTCAACTGGTTAGTGGCTCACAAGCACCATAAAGGGAAAGATATGTTGCTGCTGATTAATAATCCTTTGAAAAACCATAGCCACGCAGCTTGTAGGTGACAGAATGTCACATACATATATTTACTGGAGCCAATTTTGTTCAGTGTTGTGAGCTATGCAGTCAAAACTTTACTCACCTCTATTGTAGATTTCTAGACATGGACTTCTGAAATGGTTCTTAAAACAAATCCCTAGCATCTCACATCTAATTGCACAACTTTAATCTGACTGTAACCCTTTACAGTTTTGCACTCCTGATTGTTCCCAATGAATTGTGAGTTCTGGTTAGTTGAGGTACTGAAGGTATTTGGTTTTTTTTCTCTGCATCACTTCTTTCATTTGTATTTCTTAAACACCTCTCTCTGTTTTTCTGAAGCCTTACCCGAGACAGGAATCTCAGCAGGATATTGTCCTCGGCGGTGACATGCCCATCAGCTCCATTCAAGCCACCATCGCTAAACTAAGCATCCGGCCTCCAAGTACCACAGATGCAGGCATGGAGGCTGAGGAGCAGGTCGGCCCTCTCTTACCTGCTCTTGACTCAGTGGGGGACATCCAGCAGCTCCAGGATCTCTGTCCTGCCACAGATCCACAGCCCCCATCCTCCTTAAGCCCGCCTCTCACTTCGCCCACTGCCTCTCCTCCACCACCCAACGGGCTTGATGCCGTTTCCCCTTCTTCTCTGCCAGCACCCAACCATCAGCCAGTCCCAGAGGCTCCGCCCAGTGTTCCTCCTGCTTCCTCTGCACCGGCTCCTTCATCTCTGGAGCTCCTGGCCTCGCTGACGCCTGAAGCCTTCTCCATGGACGGGGTGGGTCGAGGGAAACAGCGGGTGACTAAACAAAGCTTTCTGCAGCCGGCAGAAGGCCAGGGTCTCCACGGAACTCGAGGGGACGAAGGAGACGACCCGCTCAGTAGCCTGGATCCCCTCTGGAGCCTCAGCAAGCGTTGAGATGAAACTATAGATTTCTGCTTTTCACCCACTCTACCACCAGGTGTCAGTGATGGCCTGTAGCGCTTTCTAATCCTGCTTTAAAAAGAAGGAAAACAAAACAAATTGGCTTGGAGATATTTTAGTGGTTGATTACCAAGATGTGCCTAGTGGCAGATTGTAAGGGTTCAGTTTTGAAGATTGAAATGTGTACTTTGCACTGCTTTAGGGGTGTGAGGCTTGAAACTAAAAACACTTGCTTCTCCTTCAATCACTGATGGCTTCTGGGACCAGAACACTATGCACTCGTTGGTATTATCTTCATTCTTTGCTGCTTTTCTTTTTACGTGTGTGGTGGATGGAAGCATGTCTGCTCTTCCAGCACCAAACCTGCGCTCATCTTATAAAAGAAAAAAATCCCAGCATGCACTCCACTTCACAGGCGCCTCACTGTTGGTCATCAAAGCATCGCCAAGGGTGTGACATCGCTTGGCCGCTCTGTGATTATTTAATGGCTGGAATAAAAGATGAAGTTGCAGGCATGTGGAGGCACTCCCAACTCAATCAGTGCGTACAGTTCAGTTTTTATGTTAACAGGAGCATACAAATCAGCACGTCTTAACAAGTTGATTATTTTTCTTTGTAACACTGTAAATATCTTAAACCTAGAATATTACAAAAATTGTCCTTCTGGAATTAAAAAAAGATCACTAATCATTCATTATTGTAAAATCTGAAATAAATCCAGTAGACAGTCAACCTTTGTGGTATCAAAGCCTCTTTATTTGAAAATTAGTACAAAGTTTTGCGCTGTTACAAAATAGTAAACAAGTTACTACAGCCTGCGTAGATTGTAGCCAGCCAATGAGGGGAGAAGGCTGGAGTGGGTGGGGGGGGAAAGGAAAACACCTGGGGATTACATTTATGTGCTGCGATGCTTTTTACAGCAATCTAAACAAAAAATATTAAGTAAGAAATGTTACACTGATTTGTATTTGCAGCTGGAGGAGGATCAAACAAGACCCACAACATCTCTGCCATTCATTGTGAGGATGCAGATTAAAGATTTATTTTAACCTAAATGATTAAAAAGGTCGCTGCTGCATCCACAAATTCTTGATATGGTGCCGTGACGGCTGAAACGAGACTGAAAGGTATGAAGCGATCTAAAATTAAAGGCATAGTTCATCTTTATAAACAGAAACATTCAGAAAAAGCAGTGACACAACTCAATCACCACACCAACCCACCTTCCCATCCTTCAGCTTTAAAAGAATAGTTTGACATTTTGGAAAATGTGTGTACGTGCTTACTGGCAGAGGAAACTGATGCTGCCACAAAGTTTTCGTTTGAGTAACACGGCACAAGTTCTCGTCTTTCTTATATATAATTTCTCGACCTTTTGACTTTGATATTTAGTAAACACTGTTAAAGGAAACTGTTTATGTGCAGATAAACTAAAGCATGAGAGAATCAGGGTCACATTTCTGAGGAACTGTGCCTGCAACACTACACTTGGCGATTTCTCACCGTTTTAGAAATGTAAGATTTCTGTTTTACAACACTAAAATATCCTCAGCATAGAGCCCCTGTGATCACCGAATAGCACAACGATAAAACGGCTGTTTTAGCTCTGACAATTTCTTTGAATATAGAGTGTAATTCCTTGACATCTCAGTGCTGCAGTTTTCAGACCAACTTCTCAGCAAGCAGAGTTAACTGGAGTTGCTAACCCAGTCACTGTGTACATTCGTCAGTATTTAACTGCAAGAAAGCAAATACAGGTTCCCAAAATATCAAACTTGAGCTTTAATTCACATTTCTAGAAAATACATGTGAAACTGAAATCTAAAAAAACCAAAAACAAAACATTCCCCGTTTCTAAAGCTTTCAACTAAACAAAAACCACAAAGCTAATAAATCAACAGCCACAGCAGCAAGATCACATTACTGGCCTCTGTGATGGAGGTGCCATTCGTCTCAGAAGTTGAAATGTGAATACTGATGCTACAGTTGGAAAAATAAAAAAATAAATCATACGATAATCATCAGCTTGTTTCTGGAAAAGAAACTCTGGTCGCTGCATCCGAGAGGAACAAGCGCTGCAGTCTATATGTCACGTGCGTGTTTAACAGCGCTGCAGGTGTGAACTTTAAGTCCAGTTACATCCGACTCTTCTGCATACAAGCTGAAATTGCAAAAACAAAGTGCCTAAAAATGTGTGTGAGCTTGTACATCAGAGGGTTAGAGATGAAAGGAGTTAGTGTTGTGACCGCAGGGATCAGGTGCAGGTCTTTTAACGGATTTTCTGAGACAACATTCAGGACATACAGATAGAAACAACAGATGACGACTGGGAGAAAATACATTCTGGACATTGTGGATGTTGTTGGCATCAGAGAAAAATCTTTAACCTGCAGGATTGCATTCTTTCTACCCAGAGTAAAAAAGTGAAGTTCAGGCACAGACTCAAAAACGAGGGGGTTAAATGTTGAAAAATGCATTGCTTTCATAAATACTTGGCTTGTTGAGTTTAAGAATTTAACAGTTTCAGTATTGACAGGATTTTCACCTTGTGTGCAGAATAAGTACAAAATGCTCTTTACTCGATGTTCAGACAGAAGCTTCATATTATACACGCTACAAAACAATGATTGACATGCATTGCTTTTGTCTGGTTTCTTAAGGCGTCTAACAAGTGTTTGAAAACATTCATACCTGACAGAGAGCAACCGTATGACTAATAGTGGAAAAACTGACTGAAAATACTATTGACATTTCCCGTTTAGTCCAATTAAAAAGACTTAATTAAAAAATGTGTGATATAATACTGCGTGTGTTTCAGGAAAAGATTATCTGAACAGTGTCACATGTGTCAGGTCCAAATTTTGAAAAGGTTATATCTCAAACCCATTCCTGATGTGAAAAATCCAACATCAATACTGCAAACTGTTTTAAAAATGTACTAGTATTATGCAAAATTAGGGACAGGATGCATTCACTGTTACCTTCCTTCACATTTTTACCAACTGGTCGCTGAAAAAAAAAAAAAAAAAAAGAAAGAAAAGAAAGAAAAAAAAAGAACAGGTTTCAGGACAAACTCTGCTTAAGCGTGCATCAACAACATACCAAAAACTAAAAATAGACACACAGTATATCTAACGTGATCCAAGTAGTCGACAAGGTTTTGTCACCCTTTGTGGCTTGAATTAAAGATTGTGGATTAAAAATGATATCAGGTGACCAAGTTATGGCTAAATGGTGATTTAAAAAAAAAAAAAAAAAATCTCTAAAGCACAGAATGTATTAAAAAAAATAAAAATAAAATAAAAAAATTGCAACATCAGTCATCCAAAATTCAAGCTATTTGAAAATTGGAGGTAGCCTGATGAAGGTGTAACACACTGGGGAAAAGCAGCCCCTCGTACAGCATCAGTAACCCCAGAGTCAGAGGCCGAGGTTGGGGTAAAGGAGGAACCCTTTCTGCTTCCCTGCGGCCTCCAAATCTACAAACACACATGTTTCCACCTCAGTATTACAACCAACCAAAAGCCCAGTGCTGCCAAACAAATAAACACCTTCTTACATTTAAGTCACCTTTTCCACATTATTATGGTCTTATTTAAGAGCTGTGATTAGTCATTCATATACAAACTGTTACTCAAAAAGGGAAAAAAAAAAAAAAAAGTATCGCTAATAAATAATAAATGTAGACATAAAAACAGCCCCCTCTGGAGGTTTACTTTATACAGTAATCATTGGTTCTCCCTCACACAAACGCACACATAACCAATCAACTTTTGTTCTCAGCAGTTTTACTATAAAAAGGGTCTAAACTCATTCAATCAATCTCTCTCTCACACACACGCGCTCAATTCATCCCCGCAGGCGATGGACCTGTCGAGCTCTCTGTGGCTGCACTTCGCTGTTGAGCGCACGGCACAGCAGGAATATTAAAAAGAAAGAAAACAAAACAAAAAAGAGGAGCTCTATGGTCCTCCTCTCTGGGTGGGTGGGGTCACAAGCCTCCCCCCGCCCTGTGTGAGCAGCATAGAGGGCAGATCTGCAAAAACAAATGTGCGTGCACAAAAAGCACAAACTCAGAACTGGCGAGCTCCCTTCAAGTGAGAAAAATCCAACCTTAACCAAACTCGCGACCTTCCGTAACGTCAGCAAGATGGCTCTGATAAAACGCAGTAGGCTCAACGGCCAGTTTTTCCTCATGATATTCAGACTTTAAAACACCTCGCTGTTAAAACAGATAGTCTTGTATCTAATGATCGCACATCATCCAAACACCAGAAGCAATGAAACAAAGCAAAAACTAGATGCTTTGACTGTTCCCACTGATAGCTGCCAGCCCTTCTCAGTCCAGTTTCTCCAACACCGAGGGAACGTAGACCAAGCTGAGCTCGCTGCCAAAGTCACAAACGATGGCGGCGTTGTCCAGCACCAGCAGCTGCCGGACACCCTGACCGTCGCTACTCTGACCCAGGTACACCGTCTGCAGCAGGTCGCCGAAATTCAGGTCCCAGAAGGAGACGCAGCCCTGCCCCCCCGTCACCAGCAGAGACTCTGAGATCACACCCAGACTGGCCCCGCAACCCACCTCCTGGTGGGAAGAAAAGAGAAGCTGATAACAGACTGCTGTGTAATGCATTTTAAGGGCTCCAACTACTGTTTGTATTCTTGAGAAATCAAGCTTATCATGTAAAGGATTAGAAATCAGGACATTTTTGGAAAGCTTTTTGTGATGACTAAGGAGAGTTTCTTTAGTCTCTGTCAGATATAGAGACACAGCTGTGTACTATCACACTGAATATGGCCAGTTGGGTATGCAATCAGGAGACAGTTAAAGGGAGCTAAACAGTTGGAATTTTGGAGTTACAGGGAATTACACTGTTGAAAAAATAATAATTGCAAAACACCTGTCTGATGCCAGGTTAGGCTTTAGAGAGTTAAAGAAATAAAGACGTGAAGGAGACTGAGATTAAAATGCAAGCACAGTACCTGCTGTATTGAGTACAGCTTGATTCCAGTGCTGCGGTCCCAGATACAGATGAGGTCATCCAGTCCTGAGCTGATGACACAAGAGGTTGTACACACCAGCGAGGTGACATCACCACAGTGACCGTAAACATGGCTGACTCGGCTCCCTGTCAGGACATCCCACAAGCAGATGGCGCCGTCCTGCCCACCGCTTGCTAGAACCATCGTCTGAGAGGAAAAAGTTTGTAATTGAGAGTCTAATTTACTGTTTCATGAAACAACTTCGTGGTTTTACTTTGGTAATTCCTCTATTTTGACCCACGGTTTTTAGAGAAAATATTCACCAATGCCTCCGTTATCACAATATGAAATGTTACGAGACGCGGGGATATTGCTGACCTGGTCTAAGTAGATGGCTGTAATCCCTCCAGAGTGACCTTGCAGGGTAAAGAGGCAGCAAGAGTCCTCCAGTCGATAAACCTAAACAGCACACGCAGATAAGGATGATCTATTAAAAGCACTATCACAAAGACTGCTTTTGGAGTTTGCTCATATTTTTTATTTTATTTTTTTTACTGCCAGTAAGATCCATTCTATAGAGTTTAATGAGAAATCAAAACAATATTTGTTGTACTTGAAATAAAAAGGACAGAGTGCAGGTCTGTTACCCGGACTGTGTGGTCTTGGCTGCCAGTGACGACTCTGCCGGCAGCTGCACGAAGCACCGTGATCGGCTTTTGGTGAGCACACTGTACGGAGCGTGTGAGCTGGCAGCTGATCACATCCTCACTGCTGTAACAGGGAGACTGAGGCATGCTGCTTCGCCCAGGGGGACCTGGAGGGAAAAATTATTTACATGAGGAAGAGGGGGGGGAATAAATAGAATAAAATATTAAAAAAAAAAAAAAAAAAAAAAAACCCACAAAACTAGAAAAACCCTCCACTTAGGTTTACCTCATCTCATTTTCTTTTTAAATTTAAAAAAAAAAAAACAAACAAAAAAAGAAAAAAAAAACAAAAAAAAACCACACCCTCATACTGTACATTTTTCCCCAATTAAAAACCAAACTCATACAACACTGATGCAGAAACATTTCAAGCCTCACCTCTGTACTGCAGCAGACCCAGAGGTTTGTTCATCTCAACAGTGAAGAAATCTAAGGACCCGTTCAGCCTAGCTGCCACAATTCTGGGAAGGAAGAGACACTCCGAATAAAGAACAGCCGCGCATAGTAGCCACAAGTAGGATGACACACTTTTGAAACTCTGTCAGTGCGCCCAAGGGCAGCTGTGGCTACAATGTAGCTGCCATCACCAGTGTGTCAATGTGTGTGTGAATGGGTGGATGACTGAATGTAGTGTAAAGCGCTTTGGGGTCCATAGGGACTAAGTAAAGCGCTATACAAATACAGGCCATTTACAATTTACAGCATACATCTGATGTGTTACAATCTAATGTTATAGAAGCAAGTAACATCTTTTAAGAGGTTGGAAAATTACATAAAATAAAATAAATTAGTGTCCCATTAAAATGACCGAAAAATATTTTTTGCCGATTTAGAGCACGTGTGTGTTTAACCTGTTGTTGAGAAAGGCCAGAGCTGTGATCCCAGAAACACCGTCTTCATTGCTGCAGCGTAGCCACCCTTCCACTGCATCCCACAGCTGTAACCAGATGCAATTGTACAGTGATTCTAAACACCAGCGGATCAAGAGTATGACTTTTTTCAGAGTGACATGTGAAATTTTTACAAACCTCCAGTTTGCCGCTGCTCCTCCCGGCAGCTATCAGATTCCCTCTGAGCTCCATGGCCCAGACAGAACTTTCCCAGTCTCCTGCCGCTTGCGCCCCAGCCATTGGGGATCTTTCTTGGATTACAGGTGTAGCTGCTTCCCCTAAGCTCGGACTCCTCTGGAGTTGAGTGCCTGATGGGGGCGAGGAGGAGGCTGAGGACGGAGAGGCGTAGGTAGATGGTGATGGGGGCTCGTGCTCCATGTAGGCACGCTCCACCAGTCCTCCAAAATCAAAGCCTGCTCTGGGTGCGGTGGACAGGTGGGAAGGGGGCTGGGAGGTGAAGTTGGTGTCAATGAGCGGGGTGAGATCGGGCTGGTCAATGAAAAGAGTGGGACGACTGGGCGTGGTGCGGCGTCTTACTGGGTAGAGCTCGTCCTCTGTCAGCCCGTCTCCATTAAATGAGATGTCTCGTTCAGGACTCAAACACTCTGATTCTTGAGCCCCGGTCATGCTGTCCCAGCCATTCCGATGGTCCCAGCAGCCACTGCTGCTGCTCCGCCTCAGCCTGAGAAGGAGACAAAACACAAAAAAAAACAAAAACAAAAAAAAAACCCATCAGCATGACTTGAAGAGATAAACTGACTTTATGTTTGCAGATTTACTGGCAAACATTAACACACAAAAGGTCTGATAGGCAAAAATAAATTGATAATCTAAAAACCACCCATGAACACCAGATTGTCCCTGCTCACTGCATATTCCAGATCATGACTACTTTCAGTTGTTTCCTTTAGTGGTCAGTACAGATGATCACCAGCCTCCATCTCACCCTATCCCAGCATCCTCTGTCATAGCAACCCTCTGAGTGTCCTTTCTCACTACATCCATGAACCTCTGTAGACTTCCTCTTCTGCCTGACATCTCCAACATATTCACTTTAATACAATCAATTTTCAGCCTCAAATTTCCTAAACTGACAGATTGTTTTTAAACTAAATTTTACTTAATGGAAAAATAAAACAAATAATTCCTAACAATGTAAAAGCAAATCTGGAAACATCTCAGAGATCAATATGGCATTGAAATGTTTTTAAAACAAGATATTAAGAGTGTCTCACCCATGATTTGGAATGACAGTCAAGCAGTCCCCAGTCTGTGCGTCCCAAACCCGGATCTGTCCAGCCAGGCAGCAGCTAGCTAACAGCATCCCATCGCTAGCCAAACACTCGATATCCTACAGGACGGAAACATGGAGCAGGAAGCCGGTTTAAATAAGACTAAAGCGATCAGCCAAAAAAGAAATTAATACACATTTATTAAATTCAGCATTTTTGTTTTAAATGGCCCACCCTGTACTGTAGTATAGTACTATGAGCACAAACACATTTCTGTATCTTTTAAAATCGCTATAAAGCATAGGAATCAGCTGTTTGTTTTACCCTTTTTTCAAATTGACATTTAATCTATATTTGCTAAGCAGATTTTATATAATTACAGTATCTGAGTCATTGCAACTGAACTCATTAACACTGGATTTATCTGCACCACATAGATGAGATCTGGTCTTAAAATACATCTGAAATACAAATTAACTAACATTGTTAAAAAAAAAATAAAAAAGACAAGGGAAAGAGGGAGTGTGCAAATAAATCTGACACATGCTATTTTTTCTTTATATATGCACAGTGTTGCCTTTCTTATGAGTTTGTTTGGTGGACAAACAAAGACTGCGGCGTCTCCATCTTAGTCTCACCATACTGTGGCCCCTCAGCAGCAGTGGTGAGATCTCGCTGACAGGTGGTGAATAGCCGTAATCGTCACAGGGCAGGTCCCCTCGCCGCCGCCGCCCATGAGGGACACCATTCTGACCATAGTTTCGTGGGCAGAGAACGCGATACAGACAGAAGAGCAGCAGAACCAGCAGGACACCCGCAGCCAGGCCCAGAGCTGCCACCCTGGATCCAAAGACAACACAAAAGAGTCAGGAGTGCAGTGCCGCCACACTACAACACATTTACCAGAAACAATCACACAGAAGCTGAACTTCTGTATGTGCTCGTCAACTCCTTCACAAAATCTTTCAATGTACTGCACATTTGTTGTGTGTCATCTGTTCCATGAATTCACCCTTTCAATTGAAGCTCTAGATCTCTAACAGACTTTTTATCTCTCACAAAATACTGTGGAGATGCTGAGTTTCCTAAAATATTATCCGGACACTTTCACAGTCAGATGAGTAAATAGCCCAACTAGTGTATAAAGATCAAGCAGCAAAGTGAGAAACTGTTCATAACTGACAACAGCATAACAGATCTCGATGTTTACCTAAAACATTGTTCTGCAGCTGCACACTCACATGTTTATATAGTTTGTGTGTTGAACAAGTACAACTGTACAAATCTAACTCACAATATGTGGAACTGACCGCTTGGAAAAGAAAAACCATGAAAGAGCGCATGTGCCAGCTCTTCTGTGGAATGTGGAGCTTATGTGATGATAACCTGGCAGAGGAGTGTTGACTTTCTCTGCTTAAAAAAAAAAAAAAAAAAACCCTCACATCTGTAATGTGAAAGTAGAGCTTTAACCCTTTCCCCCCCATGAAGGGAACATTTTGACAGCCAGGATTTTTGAAATGCAGCTGTATAGGGAAACAAACATCGCACAAACATCTGATGCACAGTCAGTAATCTTGTTCTACAAACAGGCCAATATGGGACAAACTCCTCAGTTCAGAAAAAGAGCTTTAAGGGTTACTACTACTACTACTACTTTCTGTGCTTATCTTTATTTTGCTAATGGCTACTTTTTTGGCCAATTTTTTTCGAATGAGTAAAATCCATCTAAAGTCCCTGACATCATTTAAACTCATGCAGAAACAAATAAAAACAAGGCAGTCTGTGTACTTCTGTTAGCTTTTAAAAACACTTTAACTGCAATAACAGGAGAATTACTGGCAGCAGAAACGAGTTGGGGAACCAACATTGACACACAGTTGCTTATTTACACATCCAGCACCTCTGGGGCAACGTTGCCATTTATTTGCAGTTTTACTCATGTTCACAATATAAACGGCAAAATATTCACTTTCTTTTAGCTCCGTTTTGGACTGTAGCCACTTGGTGAGGGAGATGTGTAGCTCATTGGTTTCTGGTGATGATGTAGTGGGACTTTTGAACCTGGCCGTCAACTTGAGTTTGCATTTCAGTCCTTGCCATGTAGTTTTATTTATAAACTCATTTTAGATGTTACTCTTAAAAAAAAGAAGAAAAAAAAAAGAAGAAGAAACAGCACAAATGATGATGAACTCTAATCCTGTCTTCAGACCTATTACACACTACGGTTACTTCACAAACATCCAGCGGTTTTCGAAGGTAAAATCAGAAACAGATGAGATGGAGTCAGTATTAACTGGTTCAAACTGTGTCATTAACTTTAACCACTGATTGCACAATTTTTTATTTTAGCTGTCTTTTTTCCTGTTTAAAGTTGCTTTAGGATGTAGGATGAGAGACTTTATCCAGTTCAAAACTTCTCTTAAACAAGACAAGGCTACGCTGACTCGTTTGTTACATGTAAAGATCTTTGCTCCAGATTAAAAGTACAGAGAATTCCCTTGTAACACCTTTATCAATCTGGCCTTCCATCTATCGAAACCAGTGTTGATGTCAGTTGCCAATTCCCAACTGTGAAGGTCACGACCCCGACCAAACTGCTGATAGCAATCATATCTGCAGTCCAAAGATGACCAAAAACATCACACTTATGTCAAAGTGACAGACTGGTTTACACAACACGGTACAGTGTTGTCGCGGCAGATAGATGAGGCTGTTATAAGCTGATAAAGCTGGAAAGGACAGTGAATCGGTGTCTCTGAACCTCCCTCTAAGATAAAGAACATTATCTTCCCATTTTAGCAGCTTTATTGGACCGATATTGTGTACACACACACACACACACACACACACACACACACACACCATTGTTGTGCAAAAGAACACTTCTAGTCTTAAGACTGATTTGCTAAACTACAGAATTCACAAATTTTAACCAAAGTTAAACTTTAATTTCCATAAAATAACAATCTAACAACATTTCTAATGGTGTTGTACCTTAAGTACTATGGTAAACTGGGGGTGAGCTTAAACGTGCTCGCCAATGTGCCATGCCACTGACAGCTAGTCTAGTTATAATTGCAGAAACTCTCACTACGTCTAAAATTGTATTTTTCACTGTGACCTCTGACCAAAGTCATCACTGAAGTCTATGCTAACACTGAAGAAATTCCTAAGATATTCTTGTACAGTAAATACTTCCCACACAGGATTAGCCCATTGTCCCTGAATGCGTCACCTGCTAGGGTAAGGAAAAAAAGCCCCACAAAAAACACTGACAAAGCCTGTAAAGTAAACAAGTCAGCCAGGCTTGGCCAGTTAGAGAATATGAATACTTGCTAAAGACAGAGATAACCCCTGGCATTATTAGAATACACACAAAGAAACTGCATTTTCACCTCACGTAAAAGAAGATTACCATCAGCCCAGCAACAGTGAACACTAAGCCAAGCATGAAACGTAGGTGCTCTTTTACTCCCTTCTGTGTTATGTCAACTTAAATACTGTAATAGAAAATACATCTACAGCACTGACAAGTTTAAAAGTAACTTAAAATGTTTTTGATTTTGAGAGAAGTGTCATGATTTCTCTTTGCAAGACCTCCAAGAGCAGTTTCGCAGACAGACTAAGACTGCAGCTGAAAAAAAGAGATTTTAGTCCAAAATTATGTTATTTCATGTCTGGAAAACTAAACCTGAATGGCTCAAATGCCCTAAATGCTATTGTACTTCACTGCTCCAACTTCAGCAAAACTGCAGAAGGAACTTAAAGGCTTCAGTGTCCAAGGTGCAATCGGTTCAATGACACAGGTACAAAGTGTGAAGGTCAAGGTCCTTTACCTGCTGTGGCCCCTATTTACACTCAGCTGTGTGACGTCAAGGTTTGTTTTTTCTAACCATGTGCAAAAACAGTGATCGCTAAACTGAACTGAAACTAAGAAAAGCTAGGGCCTGAAAAAGATATCACTCATTCAATTAGGCTAAGAAGATTATGTTTCTTTGTAAATTTGTCTAAAACAAAAATTATATGAACTCATAAAAACAATCAGAGCTGATTCATCTGTACCTTCTTTCATAAGATACTAATTAAGGCAGGTAATTTAGCATTCAGAGGATTCTGAGATTTCAGCATTTTCCCCTTATGTCGTTAAACATGTGTCTACATATTACACATAAATAACTTCCTCATGAACTAATAATAACAACAGCAGGAACCCAAAACAACAAGTACCCAAACAAGCGGGGATTAACATGACCCAACAGGTGGTAAGCTGCCCTGCCTGTAGATCCTACATGCATATATTTGGTCAGATCAACATTTTCACAGAAATCCTTTCATTTTTTGTTTGGAGAGCTGTAGGAGGCTTATGTTGCTTTGAGAAACGTCCTTTTCAATGAGAGTCTCTAGAATAGTAGGGGCAAACAACTCAAGTAGCCACACTGATGGAAAATCTGCTGGATTTAAATAATCAAAAGTTACCCGTTTAACACCTTAAGGCATGCAGGTTTATCAAAGTGTTTGTGAGGCAGTTCAAACTTAAAGCGGGTAGATGTCTGTGTCTTTCTGACTACTAACTTGTAGAGGGTGAGGTCTGTCTGCAAGTCAGCAGAAACCTTGAGAATGGGTGGTTGAGGGTGTCTCGTGTCCTGAGGGTGACGTGCGTCAATGGCCTCCTGGGGTGTCAGATGAACAGTGATTGGGATGACAGGTAAGATGCTAATGTACCTGTAAAAGGACAATAACATAGTGGACATAATGAAGCTGAAAGAAACATCGAAGCAGAATTAAAGACTTAAGAAAAAAAAGAAACAAAAAAA